ACACGCAAAAACACTTTTTTTTTTTTTTTTTTTAAAAAAAACACCCTCTCACCTACTGCCCAGGCTGCCCCAGGGTGTCGCAGGGGAGTTTTAAGATGAAGCGAAGCTGATTTTGGCCTCGTGTTGTTCAGCTCGAGAGTCCTGGCAGCTCTGACGCCTTCTGGATTATTGGGGCTGCAAGTCCCCAAAGCAGACCTGTAGCGGGACGTGCATTTTCCACATAGCTAATCAATATGCTCAAAATATACTGAGCCCAAATCTGATCTCATTTAGATCAACAGAAATACGGGATGACTACACTGGCCTTACTTGGAGCTGTACGGATAGAGCTGAGGGCTACACTGATCTATTCTGTTTTAAACTGAAGAAAAATCAAACCATTTAAAAGCAAGTATTTTTTCTGAAAAGTCAATACGGCATCTCAAGACTCCAAGCGCTGGCTTTAGTCTGTTCCCCATTTTGCCATTTGGATCCCTGAGGATGCACGAGATGCACCCTCATACCCTCATACCCGAGGATGCATTTGCTGAAGCACACAGATTGCATATGGTTTGCTCCTAAGCGTCCGTGTAGATCCTCACAGTACTAACTCTGGTCACTTCCACTATACACCTTCGCACATCTCCTTTCCAGACCCTATGACTGTTACATATGCACCCCGACTACGCTCGATCCTGCGGGGAGTATGTGTGTAAAGCCGTGCTTTACAGTGCTCTAAAAAGCACTGCTACCCAAGAAGGTTTCAGGTGGCACCCACCGCTCCTTGTCCAGGAAGCAAAGGACATATCGGGTTAGACTCTGGATGTGTGCAGGAATAATGAACTTCCTTGTCTCTCGAAGGTGAACGGCCGTATCTAAGGTCTGTTTTTAGCTCATAGTTAACTCAAGTTATATCCTGCCTCTGCCTCAAGCCCTATCCACATACAAAACTGCTTCCCTGGGGCCGGACAGTGTTTTCATTTGCGGGCCAGGGGCTCACTCTGCATAAGCACAACTTGTCAGCTGCTATCACAGCCACAGTGTGCTGTTAGACCAAGCACTGGCCTGAGCTTTATTTCACCGTGTGTCTGAGCCTGCTTGTGCATCCCAGGCCTTCAAGATCTCATTAGAGGCACAGGTTAAAAATATTTTAACTACAGGTAGTGATACCAGCGAGACTGTGAACAGCACCCTCTACCTCTTCCTATCCAAACCTGTGTATTTGCTGTTAAGGCTGACACTGTATTACCAAGAGGCTCTTCCATCATTGCTTTCCCACATCCTGCAGCTTAGTGACTTGGGATCACTGGGAAGGGAAGAGAAGCAATGGTGCTGACTGGCACTAGAGGAAGTACCTTTTCACAGCAGTTCTCCTTTATGCTTACACTGTTTAGAGAGTCTGCTCTGCATCTCAGTACTACATGGAGGAAATGCAGCCTTCGACAGAAAGAAGTCTTACTAAGGGAAATGGCCGAGTCAGCTTAGGAACTCAAGAAAATTTTTCAGAAAAGAAAATTCCTGGGCACACGGCGGTCAAAATGACCTATGAAGGAACTCAGACAAGGATCCTCTTTCTTTTTCTCCAGTCTGCAAAGCCAGACTACTATTGTCAGCTAAGGGCAATGGGCAAAGCTAGAAACCTGGCTCCTACTGCTATACTTATATTGCTATCCTTTTGTTATATCTTATTGCCCATATAAAAGGAAGTCTTACTGGTATGTTCTTCACTTATATATTGCAACTGTATGTTCTTATATTCATTAACATATTCTACATATATTGCTATCTTACTGCTATATTCTTCACAGAAAGAGCACAGGATCAGGCTCATAAGCATAAGAGGTTGTGGCACCTCTATCCTTGAAGATTTTCAAAACTTAATTGAACAAGGTCCAGAGAAACCTGATCTGGCTTGGAAGTCAGCCCTGCTACGAGCAGGGAATTTGATTGGAGACCTCCAGAGGACCCTTCCAACCTAATTTTTTCTCTGATTCTACACTCCTTCCATGAACACTTCCATCAGAGAATTCTCTAAAATATCTGCATGTTCCAGAAGGTAAAATGGGATGCTAAATGTAGAAGAATATGATTTATCTTAGCTATATCAAAAGAACTGAAAGCCCAGAGGTGGGAGGGAGAATGAAACAAGCAATAAATATTGATTGTGGATCCTCCCCAAATCATAACTATTTACGTATCTTCTCTGGACTGTATTGATTGACAGTCCTATAAGACAATTTCAGTTGTGAGGGTCAGTCTACTTTGCTACTTTAGCGCATTGTCATTATGTTCTCCTCTATAGATTAATCCTGGAAAAAAGAACAGTTTACTCTTTATTTGCTGCTAAGGGCAATGCAAGTTGCTACTTACTCGCAAAAGACACTGGAACTGGCCCTTGGAGCCTAGGATTCCCATCTGATTTGCAGATACCTCTGAGCTCTTTCTCTGCACACAACTGCGGCGCATTACAAGTTCTTCCAAATGCTGTACTCATTCTTCGAACTATCAGAGGGTCATGTTTCCGTCTTGTGAAGGACAGCAGAAGGCCAAGATAGCAGAGAGGACACTTCTGTATATGGGCCTGATGGATGGACTACCAGAAGTTGGGGACAGAAAGACCTTTCTCAATTAATTTAAGTCTCGAGGGTCACTACGGTATTTACTACTGATTTATAAGAGATTTATTCATGCTAGTTCTAAACATCCTGCCCACTCCATCTCTTTAGATTACATATCCTATATCCAGATACTTCTCTTTCCTTGGTATTCATTTTCAACATTCCTTTAGATGTAATGTGTAGCTGCTTGTTATATTCATTTACACCACTTACAATACATCCTCTTCTTTCTTGATTGTATGCTCTCCAATACCTAATGTCAGGCTAACTGCATCCATTGTCATCCCTGAACTGAACTGTTCATATCAGTGCCTTCCAACTTGTGTGTAAAACAGGGCCTACAACCACTGCCATCTTTTTGTATTTGTTTCCTGAAACTCCTCTCTCACTAT